CCCACCCCTACAATGTGATGGCATTTGCAGATGGAACTTTGAGGAAGTAATTAGGGTTAGATGAGGTCATGAGGTTGGGGCCTTATGATGGAATTAGCATCCTTATAAGAAGAGATATAAGAGAGCTTCCCCCTTTCCCACCTCCACAAGCATGTACCAATGAAAGGCCATGCAAGGACACAGGTAGAGGGCTGCCACCTATAAGCCAGCAACAGAGCTCTCACCAGAACCTGAATTCACCCCCACCTTGGTGGGACTTCCCAGCCTCCAAACTGTGAGAAGTAAATTTCTGTCGTTAAAGTCACTCAGTCTATGGTGTTTGGTTCTGGCAGCCTGAGCTGACTAGGACAGCAGGCATTCTCTAGGGTAGTCACAGTATCTTCATGCTGAAAGAAGACCCACCCTCCTGCACTCAGAGAAATTTGGAATGCAACAACAAATAAGGCAAAGAAGAGGCTTTTAATGCCTTGTTCAAGTGAAGATAATCATTGTTGTCCCACAATTCCGTGCACTGTTGTTTTGTTAGGAGTCAGAATTACCTGAACTAGACTGTAAAGTACTTTAAATAACTAAGGAGGTAGCCATGGAAAATGAACGACCTCCTCAGTCCTCTTTGGAAGCAGGAAAGGTAGGAGTTATAAAAGTATATTAGTCAGAGTTAGGATAAAGAAGTTGTAGTATATGATGGAATATTACTCAACCATAAAAAAGAATGAAATTTGCAGCAACACAGATGGACCTGGAGATTATCATACCATATAAATGAAGTAAGCCAGACAGAGAAAGAAAACTGCCATATGATATGGCATCAATTATATGTGGAATCATTAAAAAAAACACAAATGAACTTATTTACAAAACAGAAAAAGACTCACAGGCATAGAAAACAAACTTATGGTTACTGAGGAGGAAGGGAGTGGGAAGGGATAAATTGGGAGTCTGAGATTTGTAGATACTAAATGCTACATATAAAATAGAAAAACAATAAGTTTCCACTGTATAACACAGGGAACTATATTTAATATCTTGTAGTAACCTATAATCAAAAAGAATATGGAAAGAAATATAGGTATGTATATGTATGACTGAAATATTATACCGTACACCAGAAATTGACACAACATTGTAAACTGACTATACTTCGATTTTGAAAAATGAGGGAAAAAAAGGTATATTAATCAGAGTAAAACAAGAGCATGAACTTCTCCAGCAACAAAACCAATTCCTGGAGCATGTCATTTTCAGCACTATAGTGATTTCCATAATACAGCTTTTAGCTCCACTGGAAATGACAACACACGTGTCACCCTGAACATCATGTACTTTAATGACACCTTGTGTGTTCTCATCCTTTCAGAACCAACTCAAATGTCATCTCTTCTGTGACTTTTCTAAATGTCATTTGAAAATAACTTTTGTGTATTTTTGCATTCCATGGTCTCCGTACAGAATATTCATCTTTCCTTGGGGCTCCCGTTCCAATTTGCATTTACTTCCACAAGGCACTTATCACATCACATTACAGGAAGTTGGATGTCCTGTCTGCCCTGCTAGATAGTGAACTCTCCAAGAGCAAGGCCATGGCCATAGAAACTACTCAATGAAAGCTTGAATGAATGAATGAATGAATAAAGTCCTGCTCCTTTGCATATGACTCATTCCCCATTCATCCCAAGCTTCCAAAGACTGATTCAGCTACCAGACTGAGGCTTTCTCTACCTCCATCTGCCCATCTATTATATGATACTATGAACAGTAGTTAAACATTGTCATTTTTCCCCCTTTGGCCTCAGAATCTTTAATGAGTCATGGGAGCTACCAGGATGCAGAGCCAGTAAGCTCTAAGGTCATATGTGAAGATTCAGTGTTTTAATAATATTTGTCCCAACTGTTATTTTGTCCATATTTCAAAGATCCCTTGGTCTGTATTCATCCTGAAATTATTGACACTTCACAGCTGCCCAAAGTCCACCATAGAAACATGGACTATTATGTGGTTTAATTTGGGAGGTCTGCCCCTCTGTTTACTAGGAGAGAACCCCTCCTGTGGTTTACAGTCTTCACCAACTCCTTTTAAATAAAATAAAGCCAGTAATTTTGATAACAATCCAAGTGTTAGATTCAGTTTCATTTTGAGAAAACTGTATTTTCAGGTTAGACTCTGTAGCACAGTTTCCCATCAGCTACTGAATCTGTTGTGCAGATGAATGAAGAAGTGAGCAGATTTAATCTCAAGTGCCTGAATTTCTTTGCATGTCTCTGCTTTCCCTTCCTCTGTGCTAAAATCTAGCCTATGTTTTATTCCTTGTGAATCTAGATCATGTTTGACTGTTATCTATATGCTACCCCCAAGAAAATTTCCCCAGAGTTTGGAGGGTTAAATAGTTGAAGACCTAACAATGCATCAGGCACATACATGTACATGGACACGTAGAAGGACAGAGGTTGACATTTTAAGCAAGATTCTTGCCCTCAGATAACACCAGATAGGCAGCCCTCCTTGAGGCAGCTCTGATGGCTGTGGCCATACTAAGTGATATGATATGTAAAAGAGAGTAGAGAAATACTGGGGTTTTTTTTAAATAAAATTCTTAAGTTAATTCATTTTTCCACCCTCCTTTCTTATCTCCCTCCTTTTCTCCCTCCTTCCTTCCTTCCTTCTTTCCACAAGTACTTTTTGAGCAATTACAATGACCTAAGCACTGTCCTAAACTTGGAGGAAACAGCAATGAATAAGACCAGGTCCCTGCACCCATATGGAGCTTATACTCTGGGAGAAGAGAGATAATAAGCAAATAAAGAATATGTAGTTTCAGGAAGAAATTGCTTTAATTTATTTATTTTATGAAAAACAAAATTGAAAAAAAAAGAGAAAAGCCTATGATGGTTCCACAAAAAATTAAACATAGAATTACTGTAGGAGCCAACAATTCCACTGTTAGGTATGTACCCCAAAAGAATTGAAACCATGGTCTCAAACAGGTATTTGTACACTCGTATTCAGAACAGCACAATAGCCAAAAGAGGGAAGCAACCCCAGTGCCCATCAATGGATGGATAAAGAAAATGTGGTGCATGCATGTAACAGAATATTATTCAGCTTTAAAAAGGAGGGAGATTCTGACATGTGCTGTAATATGGATGAAACTTGAATATATTGTACTAATAAATGAAATAAGGCAGTCACAAGAGGACAAATATTGTATGATTCTACTTACATGAGGTACCCAAAGCAGTCAAATTCATGGAGATAGAAAGTAGAATAGTGGTTTCCAGGGGCTGGAGAAAGGAATGGAAGGGAAGAATAGAGAGTTATTGTTTAATGGATACAGAGTTTCAGTTTGAAGAGATGAAAAAGTTCTGAAGATGGATGGTGTTGATGGTTGAAAAATAATGAGAATGTACTCAAATGCCAAGGAATTGTACACTTTAAATGGTTAAAATGTTGTAAATATAGCATTTATATGTGTGTGTGTGTATATATATATATATATACAATTTTTTTAATTTTTAAAAATAAGCAAGGGGTTGGAGTAAGAATGATTTTAGTTAGGACTGTCTAGGAAGTCTCAGAGGAGGTGACATTTGAGTAGAGACCAACGGAAATGAGGAGAACATGGGATGATGACATAGGGGAAGAGTTTTTGATTTTATTCTAAGTACAATCTTTGGAGAGTTTTGATTGGTTAATCTGATTTGCCAATTTAAAATATCATACTGGTGCTATGTGAAAAGTAGACTGAAAGGGAGGAAACCTGGGTGCTAGAAGATCAACTAAGAGCCTGTGGCATTGTCCAGGCGAGTGACTGGTGGCTCAGGTGATGCTGAGATAATAAGGGAGGTGGTGAGGAGGGATCGGATTTGGATGTATTTTCACGGTAGAGTCATCATGATTTGCTGGTTGGGAGTTGGGGTGGGGAAGTGGTGAGGGAAAGAGACGCATCAAGGACGATGTCTGGATTTTGAACTCAGTAGCCAATGGAAAGGAAGTGCCATCCACTGAGATAGAAATGAGTAGGAGAAAAGCCCGTTGAGGAATGAGAAGAGATATGGGGAGGCATCAAGAGTTCCCTGAAAAGTGAAATCATAAACTTAGTGTCCAGCAGACCACTAGTACTTAGAAGCCATTTATTAAATACTTGAATGAATGAATGAATGAATGAATGGAACTGAATGGGCAAATGGAGGTAGGGAGGAAAGAAGAAAGGAAACTCAGAAAGGAAACTCTAAGTCTTACAAAACATGAAAGAGAATATTTGTTAAAATTACATGATGGTAAAGACCCTTGGCTAGAATTTGGGAGAACTAGGTTCTAGTCTAAGAAAATATTTCCAAACTTCAGATTCCTTCCTCCCCTAGGCTTTTATTCTGTTACCTCCCTCTTTTTTCCCCAACAGGAAATGTGCTCACACTTTTATTCACCCCATTGGGGCAAACCCATTACCCTTTGCACCCCTGTGCGTAGTTGCAGGACTCAAAACCTGGAAGCAAGCAACAGCCAATCAATGAGTTCCTCTGACAGGGACCAACCAATCAGTGAACTCTTCTGACAGGGACCAGCCAATCAGTGAGCTCCTCCAGCTTTGGGCTCACCAACCACGCCTTCCCCATGCTCAGCACACAGGCTGGGCATCCCCAGTCATTGTGGAGCAGACCCTAGAGCAATCCAGAGAAATTTTCATCAAGTCAGTTCTGCAGAGTGTCTCAGTTTTTAAGAGCACAAATTTAAGTAAGCAGGAGAGAAGATTAGTTCACGCCATGTAATGGCTGAATTTGCGTTGACTGACCCATAACTGCTCCAGCTGAGACTTCACTCTGGTTCCTACCCATAGTCACAAAGGGAGAAGAGAGCAATTGGGGGTGGGGGGTTTAAAAATGACCTTCACAATTGCAGAGGCACGGTGTAAAATGAAAAAAAAAAAACCTGTGAAACTGCTATAAAACAGCCTTGCCGTGCAGGTTTTCATACATTGACCGCGTTTGTACTGGCTCTTCCGCAGGACTGACGGTACAGAGCGTGTCTGCATCTGCCCTCTCACCTGTTTCTCTTCCTGCAAGCATCACGCCACTGACAACAGTCTGGACCAGCTCTCCACAAAGGCCTCCTGCGTCCCCAGCCAGTGACACGCCCAGCAACCCAGTCCTCCCGATTACAGCATCAGCCCAGACATCTCCACCCACCAAGAACGTTTCCATAGAGCCCAGAGAAGAGGAGCCCACCAGTCCAGCCTCCAACTGGGAAGGCACAAACACAGACCCCTCACCAACTAGCGGTGGAGCCCACTTAACCCCGACGCCTGAGGAACACAGCTCAGACTTTCCTGAGGCCAGGGTGCCAGCTACAGGGTCACAGCCCCCCACTGAGTCTCCCGCACTCACCTCCCCTCAAGCACCAGCCTCATCACCCTCACCCCCATCAACCTCACCGCCGGAGGTTCCTTCTGCGTCCGTCGGCACCAATCAGACCTCGACTGAGACCAGCACCAAGTTTACAGGAGCCCCAACCACCCCAGAGTCCCCAGCGGAGGAGCACAGCTCTAGCCACACACCTACTTCACATGCCTCAGCTGAACTGGTGCTCACGGAGACGACACCCCAAGCAACTGTGCCAGCCAAAGTGACCTGTGTGCTGATAGACATCGAGACCACCACCGCCTCCCCCAGGGTGATCATGCAGGAAGTGGAGCATGCGCTAAGCTCAGGTGAGTCTGTGTCTAGAACATCGGTGTCCTTGACGCCACTAAGATGCTATGAGTACCGTTCAGTTAACCAGACACAATGGGTTAGATCTGAATTTTGGAGTGCAACACCTGTGCTGAATTATAATGCACAAGAATGTCCAAGAGAGCAAACTTTACAAATTTTCAGTCTCTTAATAATTTCCCCAAGATAGTTAATTAATTGCAGCCAATCTTTACGGTTTGTCTTTGCGTAGATCACAGGGAGTGTAAATGAATGAAGCTGAATAAGCAAAGGGATGAACAGCACGGCTCTGGGTTGAGCTTCCTAGGTTTCAATTCTGGCTCCTGACTTTGGGCAAATTACTTCATCCCTGTGTACCCTTATTTTTTCCTCATCTGTAAAATGAGCATAAAATAGGCTCTATTGTACATGGTTCTTGTGGGGATTAAATGAAATGACATATAAAGTGCTAAGAACAGTCCCTGGCAGGGAGTGAGTACTCAGGAAATGTCAGTTGTTATCATGACTTTGCTCAGTGTATTGACGAAGTGTTTACCTCAGGCCAGAAAGTAGGGTGGGGGGTTGGAGAGAATGTGCTTATTCTTTAGAGTCACTGATACGTGGGAAAGACAATCAATCTTATGGAACGTCACATTTGTTTTTATTCTCCCAGGAACCCTCTGAAGATGGTATTATTTTTATCTTGATTTTGCAATCTTGGAAATTACGATGGAGAGAGATTTAGGGTCTTTTCTAAGGTCACTTGCATCTGACATTGACGTGAAGACCGTAAATTTTAGGGCACTGGGCAGGAAAAGGCCTTAGTGGGAACATTTGCCCTCTTGATTAAGAAACCGTAAGGTGATATCAGTCAGAAAGGGGAGGGGAAAATGGAACTTTAGACCCTTCCTTCCCTGAGTAGTCCTGCCAGGGGCATGGACTCAGAGGAGGATATTTGGGACAGAGCCACACATGACCAGCTGAGGTCAAAGAAATGCTGTGACTGAGGAGAAATGAACATCTTTTAACAATTGCTAGACAAGCACTGTGAATGGAAACCCTGGTAGACGTGGAAGGAGAGAGGGAGAACACTTAAAATAAACAAGACAATTCTCACAGAAGAGCTCACAGTTTACTAGGGACCAAAGTCCCAAAGAATTGCAATTTTTTATTTCAAAGGCCCAGTATATATCAGTGAGAGTCCCAACAAGAAAGAGAGATACAATCAAACTGGGGTAAAGGAAAGAATTACAAAGGTACAGCTGGGGTGTAAGAAAACCACGGGGGATCATAACTGCAGAGCTGTCACGAGTCAGGCCTCAAGGGAGAGACCAGAAACCAGAACCCAAGAGGAGACTCTTTCAGAAAAGACCACCTTAGGAGGAGCAGTGACTCTTGGGCGACGGACACAGCTAACCCAAGGTTAACCTCTGGGGTGAAGGGAATCACTTCTCTGCCCTCCATCCCCCTACCACTGATGTGCAACCCAGTAAGCCAAGGACAAGGAAACCCACTGTGGTCCATACAGGTCAACTTCCTGGAGAGCAGAGTGGAGAAAGGTGGGAAGTGGACCTGGAGGGTCAAAAGGAGGGAATCTGACGCGCGCAGTTCAATAATAGCTTCCTCTGTGCAGCCCCATCCTCCTTAGCGCCCTGTTCGCACTTCCAGCCTGCACTTATCACATGGCATTTAGAAGTGTACTTCCTGTCTCTGCTTTCCACCACTTTCTGTCTGATACTTTCCATGCTCCCAGCTGGCAGGAAACAGCTCCATTAAAGACAAGGTACCTGGAGCAGACTGAGTGTTGACTCAGTGTCCCAGGGACTGTCCCTAACAAAGGTGCCATCTAAGAACAGGTGTGCGGGCAGTGGCCCCATCTCCTCTCTTTCCTAATTCAGACCTCGCCGCTGCCTGCATGGTACCATGTCTTCAGTTTTCTAACTAGTCTCCCTTTCTTCACTTTGCTGCCTTCCAGGATACCATGGACATGATAGGTCAGTACCAAGCACAAATTCTTAGCTAACCTCCCTCATCTGACACAACCTACTGCTTTCTTCAAGTCCCAGTCTCAGTTTCATGGGCTAGATCATGGGCTGATACAAGACAGTCCTGTTCTAATATGCCAGCTTGTGTTTTAGACCATGTATCTTGATTTCCTCAACTCAAAGCTAGCAGGGCTAAGAGACAAAATTAGTGACAGAGCTGGGTCATTAACCAGAGCTTTATAGTCCTAGGGAATATGACCCCCAGTAGGAAATCCAGAGTAAATGGACAAAGGAGTGATTGAATGACTCGAGAGGAAGGTGTGGCAGGTTAGAGGGAGATCCCTGAGCATGGCCAGTGTACATATCATAGACCCAAGAGGGTTTATCCCCTATGACCTATTAAATCGGAAAATATTTATCATGCATCAACCAGGACCCTGTGCTTGATGCAAAGAACTAATAAGTGCAAGATCTGTCCTCTGAAATTTTATAGTTAAAATAAAAAGAAAGGGCACTTTCTTAAGTAATGCTTTTTTAAAAAAATTTTTTTGAAGTGTAGTGGATTTACAATGTTAGTTTCAGGTGTACAGCAAACTGATTCAGTTATACATATACATACATATATTTTTTTTTCTTTTCAGGTTCTTTTCCATTATATGTTATTACAAGAAATTGAATATAGTTCCCTGTGCTATACAATAGTTCCCTGTTTATCTATTTGATATATAGTAATGTGTGTCTTTTAATCCCCAACCCCTAATTTGTACCTCCCCACCCTTCCCCCTTTAGTAACCATAGTTTGTTTTCTATGTCCTTGTGTCTGTTTTTGGTCTGTAAATAGAATTTGTATCATTTTTTAAGTAACTCTTAAAGTAACTCTTAACATCATTCCTTAGTTTCTGATCTGAGAATGAACGAAAGTGGGTGGTAGGATCTTTGAGCAGATGTGATGCAATCCATTCATTTCAACGGTGGAGAAATCGTGTCCCAGAAGTTTGGAGTGCCTCACCCGAGGTCAAACCACCAAGTGGCAGAGTCCAGATCCTTAAAACCACAATCCTTACAACCACTTCTCGGATCAGCAGCACTGCCCCTCCACTTCTCCATCAGCCCAGCAGGCTGAGCAGCTCCCCGTGATGCTGTGCTCATGGATGACTGTTTGGGGATGTTTCTGTTTGAAGATTCTTGTGCTGCCTCAAGAGTGGCAGTAATAACACTACATTTTTGTTTAGCGTTTTGTCTTATTCTGTATGAATTCACATAGCATATTTCTATGAATCCAAGGACTCATCCACTCAATAATATCCAGACATAGTCACCAATGAATGATTCTAAAAAGAGGCAAACGCTATGGGAGTTAAATTTGACTGGTGGGATGAGGGCAGGGTCTGTGATGGAGGGAGGGAGCACATGATCTGAGCTGTAAGAGGTGGGGAGAGATAGGACCCCAGGAGAATTCGGGGGAGATTCAGGCACTTGTGAGCTGCACATGCCTGGATTCAGAATTCAGCTGGCAGCTGCATGCACAAAAACTGCTTGAGTCGAGGTATCCAGTGCCCTCCACACTGCCAGCTCTGGGGGTTAAGTCTTAGTCCTGGCAAAGCCCGACCTATCAGCAGCATTTGACGCTGATGGTCACTGCCCTCATCTTTGAAGCACTGTCTCCACTTGGCCATAGGACACCCCTCTCTTGTTTCACCACCTACCTGGCTGACTGCTCCATCACAGTCTGTCGCCTTAATTCACCCCCTCACCTTCCTACACTGGAGCACCCCAGGCCCAATACTGCCGTCTCCTCCCCCCAGTCACGCGCATTCTCTGCTCTTCCCTCCTCACTCACTGCTGAGATGATCTCATCCTGTCTCATGACTTAAAATGCCATCCCTGTGCTGATAACTCCTGGATGTAAAATTCTGTCCCTGTTTTGTTTCACTGAACTAAAGACGTGTCAACACCCAGCTGTCAACTAACTCATATCCTCCACTTGGGCGGCTCTTGGGCATCTCAGAGGTAATATAGGTCAGATGAATTGCTGATTTCCTCACCCCTCAGTCCCCTCCTCCCTCTTTTGATTCCTCAGGCCAAAATCCATGGACTAATCCCAGACGCTTTTCTCTCACACATACTCCACATCTGGTCCTGCAGAACCCAATTTCCTCTCGCCCGTCTGTCATGGCGCTCTCGTAGGTAGGACTTGAATATCCCTGTGACTGATCTCACTACTCACCATGCCCTCACTGGAGAAACCCTTTTCAAAACCCAGGACAGAGCTTGTCCCTCTTTGGCTCTAACACTCCATTTGTTTTCCCTTCTGAATCAATAAAAGCCGGAGTCTGTGTCCTGCCTGCTGTGTTCGCACACTGAACCTGCCCTGCCTCTCTGCCCTCACCTGCTTCCACTTTCACCTGCAAACACACTGGCAATCTTACCACTTCTTGAACTTACCACGCACACCCTCGCCCCTGGGCCTTTGCACTTGCATTGCCTCTGCGTGAAACATTCTCCTGCCAGCTCTTTAATGGCTCATCAGGGAAGACTGTTTAGCTGTCTCCTCAGGAACCTTTTCTCATCCCCTGTCTGAAATTATAATCCTGTCACCATGGACCTCTTTACCCTGTTTAATTTTTCTTTTGATCGCTTACCACTTTCTGACAGTATCTCATTTATTTGGTTTTCTGCCACTGGACTGTTAGCTCTGTGAAACCAGGGACCTTGTTCACAAAGAGAAAGATGTAGGTTACATGCCCAACCCTGGAACAGAGGCTGACACATGTCAGACCCACAATCACGTTTGTTGAATAAATGAATGAAGGGTCAGTCATCCAATACTAGGGAAGTTATTTAATTTCTCTGAGCCTTGGTATTTGTATCAATAAAATGGGATAAGGGTAGAATCCAAATGATGGGATTATTATAAGGTTTAGTTGGACTAGGAAATGTACAAGATAGTGGCCACTGAGTAATGGCTCAATTATGCCTGTGCTTGTTGTTTTACTATCACTTACTGCTATCATCAGCATTATTATCATTATTTT